AATTTTAAACTATATATATGGTATAACATTGTGGGATTGAAATCCCTATGTGCTCACCAGGTTTCTCAACCTGACCCACTCAGTTTATTTATATCATAGGTGTTGATATGAAGTGACATTACACTGAGAGATTTAAAGAGATGTAGACCACTAGTGTGAATAATTGTAAGTTTTGTTTATGCTTATGTTCCTGTATTAACGATGACATCCCAAACGTTTAAAATGAAATAAATACGTTTCTTCGAAAATGTTTTAATAACGTATTTACCATATTTTTCTGGGAACAAATTCCGCAACCTTTTTATAAAATGAAGTACTCTGATTTTATAAAGCATAAACAAAATCGGTCTTTTCTGGCCGTGATTTTGGGGATGTCACAACAGGCTCAAGCCAAAGTGTGCTTGGCTCATCAATAGCACACCTTTGAAGCGAATCTAGAGTCCATTCAGGAAAAATGGACTTCTTCTTGTTTAGGTGCTCCGTCTCCTTTCGCTTTTGTTCAAGTTCAGCCTGTTGTTTCTTGAGCTTTTCTGCTAGCTCTTTATCAGAGGATTTTGTCTTCTGAAATGGGTTTTTGGGATTCTCAGCACATACATCATCTTGATTATCAGTGTCATCCTCCCCAATCTTCTTCTTCTTCTTCTTCTTCTTATTGTCTTTATTACTGACCGAAGCTTCATTACCCTTCGGTTAAGTGGATGGTTTCAGTGCAGGAGGAGGTTAAGTTGTTGCCTTCTCTCCCCATTGTTTCGGTTGGACACCGGTCACCGAAACACCCTCAATACGACTAAGGATGTCCAATGCTAGCCTGAGCTTGTCAGCCAAGTGCCTTCGGATAGTAATGGTGATGATGGGATCAAGGGCTTCAAGGAGATGAAGGAGGATGGAGTGAACGTCAGTAGCAGAGCTTCAAATAACCTCCTTTTCAGACTTCAAGTCATTGAGCTCAGCAGTGGCCGTACGAAGCTTGAGATTCTACATCTTCAGCTGAGAGGTTCGCCTATCAAGCTCATCCATCATACGATTCTATACAGCTAATCCAGCCTCTAGTTGGGTCAATCGATCATTAACATTAGCATGCAAATTTGCGTTGGCAGCTTCGATTGCTTGGCGTGCAACTTCAAGGTTGGACCTTTCAGATTGAAGAGTGTGTTGAAGGTTATCCACCGAAGCATTGACAGTTTGAGCATTCTTCTTAGCAGCCGCCTACAAAGAATCTAGAAACAAGTGAGCCTCAGAAACTAGTTTATCGACTTTTGCGGTCGCTTCCTTGCACTCCTTGGTGGAAGCCTCAATAACGAGGGAGGCTTGCTGACATTGAGATGTGGAGGTGTCAATAGCCTTAGCTGCAGCAGAAAGCGAGACACTATGTTCCTGAACGACAGATGAGAACAAAGCCTTTAATGCAGCTTCAGAGTAACCCCCAGAGGAAGAGGATGAGAGCAGAGTTTGTCGTTTATTGCTTTTAGATGAAGTTTGGTAATAGGTTCATCATCATCTTCATCACTCTGTACACGGTAAGGACTAAAGTAAGTGGAATCAAATTCCAAGTCCTCACCGCCTAGAACTGGGGTGGTTTCTGTAGATGGAGTAGGGATAAGGGTTTGGTAGTAGTTGGAGGTTCGGTTGTGACCGGTGGAGTAGGAGCTGTAGAATGAGTCCTTGTGGTAGTAGTGGTGGTAGTAGTGTTTGTGGATATAGGAGTAGGGATGGGAATATTGGTGGATGATTAAGTAGTGGGGATGGGTAAACTAAAGGGATGGATACTGGGATAGTAACAGGTGGAGGAGAAGGAGGTGGAGAACGAACCGAAACTTCTGGGGTAGGGGACCGAGGCGGGGTATTACCACGACCCGAAGCCTCATCTTCAGAGCTTTCGCTTTCAGAGTCGGAAGGAGAAGCAGACTTATGTTTTGTAGGAACATACTCGGAGTCAGAGTCACTGGAAGATTGGAATATAACCTTCCTAGCAGGCTTTTTCTGCTTCTTTGGTCGAGGCTGTAATGGAGAAGCCTTGTCAGACTTTCGCTTCTTAGTGGTTTCCCCTTGGTTGGCTTGGAAACCTGTGCCTACTTCTGGGTTTCAGTTTTCTTGCCCCTTTTCGCTGACTTGTCAGCCTCTTCAATGGAGCGAATCATGGCTGGAGTAAGCACCCTTGGACTGCAGAGACACGAACGAGCATGGTTTTAGGAACATATCCAATGAAGGAGTACTTGGTGGGATCTGTGATGATTATCTTGGTTGTGTGAAAAGTAGTGATGGAGGAGAGAAGAGAATCCACCATGATTAGAACGTGAAGACGATCCATTTCCCAATTAGTAATTATTGACCAGTCTCGCCCACATGAGATCTCTGAGTGCCTGGATGAAGAGACCATGTTTTGTACCCGTTGTTGCCAGATAATAGTGTCATAATCCAAATCTATCCCATGATACAAACCATAAAGCACATTCATAAATGACTTGCTCGCCCCATCTGAGCCGGCGGTGCGTTCAGAGAGTCCTTTGAACAACAAAGTGAAAAGGCCATTCCATTGAGGAGGAAGGTAGGACTTCTTGAAGTTGGTTATTGTGGTGAGGATTTCAATATACCCCATCTGATAAAACATAGAAAATAATTGACCGATAGTGATAGATTCAGGGTTTACCAGAGGTTGTTCTTGAGAAAGACCAATTAGGGCACAGAAGCGGTGCTTGGAGATGGAGGTCTTCTCATTGTGGAGTTCAAAGTGAATTCTTTCATGAACCTTATCGTAGTAAGCAGTGGAGTAGACAAGTGAAAGGCAGGACATGGGAACAACCTCGACTTGGGACAGAGCATCGACCAAAGGTGAGTATTTGAGATACTCGACTACATACATCATGTAGGGTTCATAGACAAAAGGGGTGAGATCGATATCATGTTTTGTTGAGGTTTAATACTGAGGAGTGTTTAGTGAACAGAAGTGTCATGCACTTTGGAAGAGTCTGCCATTGCGGAAGCTTGGAGAAGATGATTAACAGTGAGAAAAATCACCTTTGTTCTTTGAGAGAGTTTTATAAGTGATGAAAGGGTAAAGATTATCGTACCAAATCCTTTTATCCGTACAAGGATGAGAGAGAAAAATCCGGCTGAGATCTTGGATTTTTTCAAAAATAGCGCCTGATTTGACAGATGAACAGTTGTCATACTGATGATGATGCAGGAAAGAGAAAGGACGTTTCCTTTTTGCACGCCATTCCATAAAATTCGCTTTTTCAAATCACCAAAACGATAAGATAACCACTGAGTCAGACTTCACTTTATCCCAATCGTCACCCCAAAATCCATTTGAATCGTCTTGGGCGGTTGTGCTGAATCGAATAACAATAAAAGAGCCAGATTGGGAAAAATTAAAAATTTTCGTGCATAGGGTGGAAAAGACAAAGATATAAAGAAAACATTTTGTGATAATTGGTGATGTCTTAAAAAGTTATAAAACAACTGATTCTGGGCAAGAATCGCTTCCTTCAAAGTCAAGAGAGACATTAAAGTGCTTGTTTGGTTTCCCATTAAATAACGATAAATAACTTGTTAAGAAGTATTGAAAGACATCTTTTAGATATTATAAAGGGTGGCTTGTGCTTCAATTCATAATTTCGATACTTGACACAAGACCGAAACTGAATGAAGTACTTGTGAGATCAATGTGATCTGTTGAACAAGTAGGTAGGATATATGATATAATAGGAACGTATAGAAATCTCAAAAACAAAAATAAACAGGATCTTTAGGGGAAGAAAAGCCTTGGTTTTAGACAAATTCATAAAAGATCACTCAAAAGTAAAAGGAGATTTCAGTAGGTAACAAGTAAGATCTTGAATATGATAATTCACTGTCAATTCATTATTGGTGTTGAATTGTGGGTTTCACTTAGTACATAGTGACACGAAACTAAGATCATTAGCACATATTTTGTATAACCATAAACCTCAGTGGTAAATGCTGAGAGTCTCAAGCGTTATATTGATGAAACGAAGTATAATGGAGAAAAATGATGGAGATGGTATAAGAAGCGAATGTACCTCTGCTATATATAAAAAAAGGACCAAGCAGAAAACTCTAAACTCAATATGAGTAGAGTAAGGTAGCACATGATTAGAGTGAATATTGCAGCCTAGTTTAGGAAAACATGATTTGTATCTATCATGTTATTAAGGCTTCACTCAAAATCTTTTGAGGCTTTAGTCAACATACAACAACATGCTTCTAGGGACGTGAGGATAGTGTGAAGAAAAGACATCATACCTTATGGATCTTCATCATTGAGAATAATACTTTTAAAAAAAAACTAGATTAAAACGAAAAATATTTTTGTATTTTGCGAAAAAGAGTTAATTGAACAAAAAGGAAAATATTTTTGAGTTTTATAAATATAAAAAGAACTATGGAAAAGAATATACATAGTAATACCATCAAAATGCCCTGAGAAGAAAAAGAATCGAATGAGTTCAGTAGGACTAAACCCGAAATAGACCGAACGTTCAGTTTATTTCGGTTCACTACTAGAAAAACAGCCTTTTACGAAGCTCATTGCGCATCGTAAAACGCTCAGACGACGCGCAAATGCGCGTCAAGGAAGGCCCTTTCATAAAGAGAGACGACGCACATTTACGACGTGCATTTATGACACACATTTACGACGTGCGGTTATGACACACAATGCGTATCAAGGAAGGCCCTGTCATAAAGGAAGACAACACGCATTTGTGTGTCGTAACCTTACGACGCGCATGTTTATGACGCGCAATGCGTATCAAGGAAGCCCCTGTCAAGAAAGGCGATGTCCTAAATGAAGACGACACACATTTTTGTGTATCGTACTTTTAATATTTTTTATAAAAAAAATTATTTATAGATTTACTGATTTTCAAATTAAATTTGCATTTCATGTCTCATAATAGAAAATAAAATACCATATACAAAAAATAAAATACCATATACAAAAATATAATACATTGAAATACATTGATATTAAAGGGATCTGATTGTACATTGTTATTAAGAGGTTTTCCCTAACTATATAACCTAATACAACATTACTATAAAGGGCACCTTCTTTTTTAAGTAACTCATCACTAACTTGTCATAACAAGCTCTGAAACCCTTCATGTATCCAACCAATGATCATGTCTATTAGCTTAAATATGAATCCCAACTCTTAATGAAGAACAACACGGAAATCCTACACAATAATCATTTCAGTTGTACAATATCAATATCAACTAATTAATAATAGACATGGTATGTATGCATGAGAGTGGAATCAAAATGATCTACCAATAAGAGTTTTGTATTACCTTGAATCAAAGTATTTTTGATGGCCTCAAGGGCAGCTCCCAAAGGATACTCCTTACCCGTGCCATCTTCCTTTTGAATTTGCAGGAGTGTCTAGCAGTTCAAATCTGAAAAGAAAACCAACCAAACCATTACACTTTTATCCTTGTTCATGTTAAAAAATTCCTTTCTATACATATACATATCTAGAGAGTGACAATTAATCAGCACAAAACATACCACCAGACCTGGAAGGCTGCCCTGGCACATAACTAATTGATATTACGCACGACTTGAATTCCATAATGGAGATGAGTAATTGAAGGGAACCAATAGTATATAAACAACTCAAGACAGAAAACTTACCGCAGACGTGACAAAATATAATAAACCAAAGTGCCATATGATTTAAGAAAGATTTGTAAAAACCTAATCATTGGTTCAAAAACAAAATATATTGAACAAAATTCATTTCATTTGATCACGAAATGAAAAGGGTCAGCAACATAAATACTTGGGAACCCATAATTAATTAGAGTTGATGATGGATTTTATCAACAAATTGTGAGCTTTCAGTTTCACACCTATTATTAACAACAACAATGAAATCAGGAAGATATAATATTTTGCAAATATAATCAATAATAAAAGAAAAGTAAAAACCTTTCTAAAGTACAAGTCCTGTCAGACTTTGAATGATTCAAGACTGCAGCAGCCACAGGAGGTGCACTCTGTGTTTTGCGATTTCTTCCTGTTCATGTTGTTGTTAAAATTCTATTTTTAGCATGTGCTACTGCTGCTTCTTTATCTGCTTGTGGTTTCTCTGTTTCTTTTCTGCTTTTTTCTTCAACAATAATACTTCCTTTATCATCAGTTTCTGGCAGTTTACTTTCTTTATTGATTAGGGATTCAGATGGGACAACTTCATCACTGAAGGAAAATAGTTAAACATTAAATACTAATATAAAAAGAACAACAACATTAAGAATAATTGGTAAATAAAACTTGCAGGATAAACATCGACCTAGATTCAATGTCGCTTGTGGAATGTTTGCCAATAGTAGTAGTCTTCGAATTGGATGCTTCCTGTAACAAAGAAAAGTTAACATTCCAAAGTTTAGATATATATATATATATATATATATATATATATATATATATATATATATATATATATATATGTATGTATGTATGTATGTATGTATCCTTACATTATTGGCAAATGAAGTTGAATCTACATCATGGTCCCTGATATCTTGAATTTCATCATCATCTTGCACCTCCGTTGAATATGAACAATCGAACATTTCAGTTATAGTTGATTATCTGATTGGTTACCATATAAAGGATGTAAATTTGAAAAAGAAAAAACAAGATCTATGATAATTAAGATGAATACCAAGGATGCTTTGAATTTTAAATCTTCAAGGTCAAAATTCCAAGCACCAACACCTCGCTGATACTCACTCTGTTTATAATCATCAACAAGAAAAAAGAATCAGACACACAAAATCTATAATTAGAAAAGAAAATAAAAAAAATAAAAATGCTTCTTGTAACCATTAATATGGTTTCTTGCTCGGCTGAAGGCATCTTTTTAAGTGCTAGTTGGGCAGCATCTTTTGGCTGCAGATAGATATTTACAAATTATATATAAATAAATGTGAAAATACAGTTTTATAAATTATATGATGGATGCGTACCTGGGGGGCTTTGACACGATGCCAAAGTCGTGGCAAGTCACCAAATAATTTCTTGGTAGAGAGTTCTTGAGCCTTAGCTTTCTTAAAAAAATAAAGGTTTAACAACTTCTCAACATTGCCACCATTTCTTTAAAATACTGTTTTTTCACAATTGGGCCCTACCGGATGGCTTTGGAAGAATGCCTCTTCAGATGCAAGTGCATCATGTATAAACTTTATTAAGGAAGTCACATTGAAACCTATAGTTTAGTATCGGGGAAAGAGAGGGGCAGAAAAGTAAATTTAGTTGGGAGTTTTAATGGCTGCAAAACAATGGTCAATGGATACCTCATTCATTTGCCAATAACTGTAATACAAAGTCAGCTTGCATCTCACAAGTTCAAATGGTGATCTTGTTAAGCATGCCTGAAGAAAACAGATGATAAAACACATATAATAAGCTCATGAATCGGGAAAAGATAAGTTGGAATGAATACCTTAATTGCCTTAGGCATTTCATCAAATAACTCATAGGTGGTTGGGGTTTGGATAGGCTATCACTGGCGGATCGATGATGGCTACTACCCATAGGACTACCAGATAAACACTGAAAACATAAACATAAACACAGGAGATTTAATATTCAAAATTTCATATGTCTGTCGAACTAGATTACTCACCCTCTCAGGAACATGAGAGCTTAGCAACAAGGTAATAACTCCTGTTATCTTCTCTATCCAATCCATCTAATCAAGGCCGTGTTCCCCTTATTTGCTGAACGGATGAAGAAAAAGGACCAAGGCTAGAAGCGCAACTGGACTAGGGTTTGTAAATTTGAGGAGTCATTGTAGATGGAGTAGGGTAGAGGTGAAGAGGAGTTCAGTTACCAATTTTATGTTGAGATTATTGTGTCTAAATTTCTCCATAAAGATACGATCGAGAGATAATGGTGTTCGATTTCTGGAAGGAAGCGAGGGTGTTACAGAGAGGGGGGATCAGACTCGCATGGAGATCTAAGGAGAGAGTGAGCAGTCTTCGGTCTGATCAAGAGAGACTCGTTTATTAAGGAAGTCACATTGAAACCTATAGTTTAGTATCGGGGAAAGAGAGGGGCAGAAAAGTAAATTTAGTTGGGAGTTTTAATGGCTGCAAAACAATGGTCAATGGATAGCTCATTCATTTGCCAATAACTGTAATACAAAGTCAGCTTGCATCTCACAAGTTCAAATGGTGATCTTGTTAAGCATGCCTGAAGAAAACAGATGATAAAACACATATAATAAGCTCATGAATCGGGAAAAGATAAGTTGGAATGAATACCTTAATTGCCTTAGGCATTTCATCAAATAACTTATAGGTGGTTGGGGTTTGGATAGGCTATCACTGGCGGATCGATGATGGCTACTACCCATAGGACTACCAGATAAACACTGAAAACATAAACATAAACACAGGAGATTTAATATTCAAAATTTCATATGTCTGTCGAACTAGATTACTCACCCTCTCAGGAACATGAGAGCTTAGCAACGAGGTAATAACTCCTGTTATCTTCTCTATCCAATCCATCTAATCAAGGTCGTGTTCCCCTTATTTGCTGAACGGATGAAGAAAAAGGACCAAGGCTAGAAGCGCAACTGGACTAGGGTTTGTAAATTTGAGGAGTCATTGTAGATGGAGTAGGGTAGAGGTGAAGAGGAGTTCAGTTACCAATTTTATGTTGAGATTATTGTGTCTAAATTTCTCCATAAAGATACGATCGAGAGATAATGGTGTTCGATTTCTGGAAGGAAGCGAGGGTGTTACAGAGAGGGGGGATCAGACTCGCATGGAGATCTAAGGAGAGAGTGAGCAGTCTTCGGTCTGATCAAGAGAGACTCGTCGCCATAAAGATACGATCGAGGAAAATCGTCTTGAGAGGGGGAGTTATTTGGGAAGAACTTGAAGCATTTGAAACCCTAGACCTTGATTCGATGTAACTTGACAGTGGCCATTGTAGATTGATAGATTAAAGACCTGGAGCGATCCCTTGTGTAGAAAGCTGCGCGATTATAGAGAGTCCTTGTTGACCGGATCCAAAGAATCCGTCAATGGCTCTATTGGGTTTGGTTAAATCCCCAGTTTGGAATGTGCTACATCTGGTTCATGAACTTGCCAAGTCAATTAGGGTTTTTTTTTTAATGAAAAATGAAAGGGGTTAATGGATTAGGATGATGTCGTACCTGAGAAAACAAAGAAAAAGAAGGAGACCTTGCAGATGAATTGCGATTCACCTTCGAGGTTTACAGAGGGATGGGAGGTAGAGAATGAAGGGAGATCTAGAGGAGAGAGTATCAGAGGGGAGAGTAGATTGCAAGGATGAAAATTAGATAGAAGATAGAAAAAACAAGGTGGGTTTTCAAAATTTTGGGTATTTTGATTCCCCTTTTATTAATCAAAAGCGTGTTTCATTAAAATTATAAAGCGACATGTACAGACGACGCGCGTTTAAGATAAAGCGCCCTCCGTGTTTCTAATTTTTTTTTCTTGAGACACTAAATTAAGGTCACGCAATAATGCGTGGCGTAAATCCTTAAATTTTTTGGAGAGATAACACTATTTTAAGGGCACGTCCTTTTGCGTATCGTTAATCAACGCGTGTCGTAAAAAGCGCGTCATTAAAGGTCTATTTTCTAGTAGTGCCTTTTCCTTGCCCGATTGCCAAGTCAAGGGACGCGGTTGGAGTAGGTATGGTAACAACTAACTTACCCTTGGGACCAATTTCGACGGTCTTCATGAGTCCTTGAAGTTTGCTGAATGTAACTTCCTCCTTGTTCATGTTGTATGTCATTCAGAAGTGATCAAAACAAGAAGGTAAGGAGTGCAAAATGATATCAATTGCCAACTCCTCGGGGAAGTTCACATTAAACTTCAGCAAACGGTCGACATACCTTTGCATTTTCTGGAACTGGCCCATGATGGGTTCGCCATCCTTCGTTCAAGTTGTTATCATGGAGCAGATGATGTCATACCTCTCTTGACGAGTATTTCGATGGTAGCAGTCCATCAAGTCCTAGTGCATCTCAAAAGGGTAATAGTCCTCATAGGACTTTTGGAGCTCGGTTGTCATCGTGGCCAACATGATACATGCCACTTTAGTGGTATCGCTCTCATGAGTCCGGAATTCAGCAATCTCCTCAGGAGTAGCAGACGACTCATCAAGTTCCTTAAGCTCCTTGTCGAGGACATATTCCTTGTCCTCGTAACGAGTGGCCATCTTGACATTTCAGATCCAATGCATAAGTTGGAACCATCAAAGATGACTCTCCTACAAAGGTTCATGAGAGAGGAGTCAGTAGGGTTTGAGCCAGAAGTAGCATTGTTGGAAGACATCTGAAAAAAGTAGAAAGACAAGTTTAGATTAGATATAAAGACAATCCTTAATAAAACACCCAAATGTAAGGCACACTCATTCACTCATGTGTGAGAAGTTAAGTATTAACACATACTTGGAGGTTTTACAAGTATCTATAAATATATGTTCTGATAAAAACCAAGTACACTCTAAAATCACTCATATAAGATGAAATAGGCTTATATGTAGGTCGAACACGTATTTAAACGGTTTATATGTATTTGTATTTTTATACAAGTGTTTTATACACATATAAACAAATTACACAAACTTTGTTGTTATAAAGCTTATAATATAAGTGCACATTTACAAACATAACACATACTTGTACGGTTTATAAGTAAAAATACCAATAAGTCATGTATGTAATGATATAATAAAAGCGTGTACTTTTTTTTATTAAAATGGTACTATTCTGTATAAGTATAAAACACTTATAAATTGCAATATATACTTATTAGTTATAAAAGTACCTTTTTATTTAAGCTAGTGAGGCAATTATATATATATATATATATATATATATATATATATATATATATATATATATATATATATATGTTGATTTAGACGAGACTCCAGTGATCTTCGGTACGGTCAAGGAGGCCATTATGGAGATTTTGGACGAGAGGTTGGGTGTGTTCCGCACTAATATGGTGGCCATGATGGCGGCACACAAATTGAAGTTTCGGGAGTTCAGAGCATGTGAAGCTCCAGACTATCATGGGGCTAAGGACCCCATTGCTAGCAGCCGGTGGTTGGCAAATATTGCCAACACCTTCTGTTCTAGCTGGTGTCCCGAGGCAGACAAGTTCCAACTCACCTGCTATCTACTGAAGTATAGAGCGAGCAATTGGTGGGAGGAGGTTGGACAAGTTATTCGGGATGATACCGCATTGGACACGATGACATGGAGTGACTTCTAGGCCAGGTTTAGGGCCGAGTTTGCACCAGTTATTGATGTGCAACAGTTAGCACGGGAGTTCCAAGACCTCCAGCAGACTACAAAGACATTAGTTGAGATCACCGCCAAGTTCAATGAGAGAGCCCTTCTTGTTCTGCAATATGTGTCGGACGAGGTGATGAAGAAGGCTCGATACCATGAGATGCTGAGGAGCGACATTAGACAATTCGTGAGTCAGGCCTGCTGCAAGACGCTAGAGGATATAATTGCTCTAGCTAGGGAGAGGGAGATTGACTTATAGGCGAACTGGGAAAGGAAGTCGGATGAGGTTAATACATCCTCAGGATCGGGAAAGAGGCCCAAGACATCAGATTCTAGAGCGAGAGGTCATTAGGACCGTAACCATTGTGGCAAGTCCGGCAGGGCACACGAGGGCGCGTGTAGAAGCGATAGTGGTGATGATTCTTGTTGCTTCAAGTACGGTCGGATCAACCATTATAGCAGGGACTGTACTGCTACCACCACCAAGGGATCAAACTTTATCTTATTCCATTGCAGTCAGAGGTGCCACAAGAAGCCCCAATGTCCGAATTTGGCTGCAACGGGACAGGTGATGGCACCTGCCCCTACGACATTGAGGTCACCGATGGCCATCAGGGCAAGGCAGAGGGGCCTGCGGCGAGTTGAGTCAACTCAGGGTGTTGACTTTGACTTTGACTAAGCGTTGACTTTCACTTTGACCAGGGTTAAAATGGTCATTTCACCCTAAGAATGATTATCAGTTATTGGTTGAGTATTATGTTGGAAATGATAGCTTGGGGAGTCGAGAGATCAGCAGTTCGGGGATCTGCCAGCTAGCAGCGAGATGTTTATTCATAGGATTCTACAATCAACTTATGAGATGAGTTTTCTCCAGTACGAACGAGTCGAAGGCACCAATCCTAGATCATTTATGTATGTTAGTGTATACCGGATTTAAATCTGAAGTCTGGGTTAGCCGATGTATTCTATATGCTTCCGAATTATGGCCCGATACCTAGCGAGGCCTAAGGGAGGTTTATATGTATGTTTCCGAACTACAGTTCGATGTCAGGTGGTACCCGAGGAAGGAATGCATGTTTAGTTATACTTTTGTCTTTGTGGTACTTTTATGTTCCTAGCAGGTAGGTAAGTGTAGGTGGGGGCCCATATCTCATCACAAGCTAAGTATGGACGGGGTTCCATATCTCATTATTAGCATAGTAGGGGCGGGGCCCAAGATAAGTGGGGCCTTAAGAATAGCAGTTGTAGTGTACTCTTTGACTATTATGTAATAGCATGGTTGTATGTTATTATTTGTATGCATATATTGGTCGGGGGCTTAGAGAAACAGATTTATACCGAGCGAGGCTTGATGCCAAGCGGGCCCTGATGCCAGATTCGTCCAATGTCAGGCGGGGCTCGAAGTA